TGAGTTTGCGTAGTTTTGTCGATCAAGAAATGGTCGAATCGATGCGTCTAGGTAAGTAAATATTCATTATTTAAATAATTTCCATATACAGACGACTAGACTCAATTCAAATTTGTTTTTTGTTATAATTAAAACATTAAGCGGGCCTACTGCAACGTGACTATCGTCGCCGTGAACGTAAGAAGTTTGGACAGGAGGGTGCACGTCGCAAGTACACTTGGAAGAAGCGTTAAAGTTTACCAGTTTTGCGTATTAAAGAAGAACAGCCTTATAAAGATAAGCAAATAAGATGTACTTTTTCGTTATACCAAAAACAATTTTATGTTTGTTAAACACTTTTGTTGTAAGTTATGTATATCAAGTAGTGCAAAATGAAAATATATACAACCAAAAAAGCATTACAAATATTTTAAAAATTTAGTTAATAACTACATTTGATCTAGTGGACGCAGTCCAAGTATGCACATGCCAGTGTTTAGGTTGCGCTTGGCGGCGCTAAAGAGCAGCAATCGATTTTGCTGTTTTTCGCGACACTCTTCATTCTTAATATTCAAATGTTTTAGAGCACGACTTGTGGTGTTACTGGAATTAATAAAGACTTATAATATTACATATATTTTGTTGGAATATCAACAATAGATACTCACCACAACGCGAATAGATGATTGACCAGTACACATGCCTCTAGTTGTTGTTTGGCTAACCACACCGCCTGCTCGAAGCGCGCTATTTCGTGGAGTAGATCTTGCGCTTCAGGTTCTGCTAACTGTGCTACATCTACCTTACATTCGCTAACATTAATGTGCGCCATATTCATCAACAAGCTATGTAGCCGGCAATGTGTGTATTGCAGTTTGATGCCTGTATCACCATTCACTTGCAACGCCTTTTGCCAATTGAAGTCATAGTCGCGTTGTCTGCGCTGCTTTAAATCATTAATGATGACCGCTGATACACCCAAGATATCGGCTATATTTTTGTTGCCACCAGATGTGTTGGTTAGTTCGACTTTGGTGGCTAAAAATTAATGGAAGATTATTGGTTTTATTTGGAGTAAAATAAAATAATTTACTTTAGAAATTATTTTTTATTAAACTTACTAGCACTTTTCAGCTGCTTCTCCAGCATTATGTTTTGCGCCTCATCGAGCACATCTCGCAGGAAGACTACTTTTCCACTCCTCGTACTCATGCCATGAATACGGCCGAACTTCACATGCATCAACCGTTCCAATGGTATATCAGCGGTGAGTGCCGATGTGGTCTTAAAGAGCGCATTGAAATGATCTGCTTGTCCATTTTCTACCACATAGTACATGCGTTGAAAGTTATAGCGTCGAAAGCGATCCAGCACAGCTGCAATATCGCGTGTTAAATACAAGCTGGATCCATCACTTTTCACCACAGGTATGCGTCTGCCATCCACACTAACCACCTTGCGCCCATCTCCCTCGTCTTGCAGTAACCCATGCTGTTGCAAACAATCCAAAACATCGCCGATTTGCCGTTGTGAATACTGCGACTCCCAATCGTATTGATCGTATCGCACGCCTAACCGCGCGTACATTTGTTCCAACTCGGCTACTGTGTAGTTACGGTAATTTTGCCACTGCCGCGCCATTTCTGCATCAGTGCCCAGCTCGAGCTGTGCAAAGCATTCGCGAGCTTTGTCTGCAATACTAGCATCCGTTTTGGCAGCAGTATTGGCAGCTACATAAGCGCTATAGAGTGTTTCAATGGGTTTGGTACGCATTTGCTCATCGGTTATGTCCAGCATTTTCACGCCGACATGTAGCATACCAAATTGGGTACCCCAATCACCAAGATAGTTCAGGCGCGTCACTTGGTAACCTAAGTGCTGGTGCAAATTAGCAAGTGCATTGCCGATTATTGTAGAACGCAGGTGACCGACATGAAAGGGCTTCGCTATGTTAGGCGAACTAAATTCAAACACAATATGGGCATGCGGCTTAGTCGCAGGTTCGACATTTTGTTGCAGCAAGGTTTCTACGAAAGGTTGGCTTTGCAGTTGGAACTCCACACGTGCAGCAATTTTGCCAGTAGCTGGCAGCAATTTTACTGATTCAACAATGGATTTATCGAATTCAAGTCTAGGTATTAACTGAATCAACTCTTCAGTCGTATTGCCGGCTGTGGGTGCCCAGTGGAGTGTTGAAAGAGCTGGGTTTGCTGGTCTTTTTGTAGGTACCTCCAATTCGTGGTAAACATTGCGGCCAAGTCCTGTCGCCTGTGAAATCTGTAGGGGGAGATAATTTTTAAACAAAATTATGTATCACATTTTGTTGTCACTTTCAGTAAAATAAGTTAAATTCTAATTAATTTACTCACCTTCTCACAGATTGCACGACGAATTCGAGCACTCATTTTGACAGTTCATCTTCGAAGCTCGAATGAATTATCTTTTCGAAGAAGTGAACAGCTGTTTTGCAGAGTTGCTGCTTCCGAGAAATTGTTTGCATTCAAAGCTTTTAATTGTAAATATTAATTAAATAAATTCAAAAATAGAGTAGGAATCAATTAAGACTTGGATAATATTCAATAAATTTATATATGAGTCTAAAGTCAAGGTTCTTCGGCCTTACACAAACATTTTCTTTGACATCAGTATACAAAAGTGCAAGGTACATTGAACAGGTAGTATCAGCAGAGCAGCTGATTTGATTTATTTTCAAATTATTTGGTCTCGAAAATGTCAAATATTTTTAATTTTTTCTCACAAAAATTCTGAATTGTTAAAATCCATTTGCATGTGAAACCTTTTTCCATACAAAACAAGCGATTGAATAACAGCTTTTGGAACGTTCGCCCAACTCAGCAGCACAACCGCTGATTACTGGCCCCTGTAAAGGATGGATCAATGCTTCGAGAAGCAAACAAATTTACTAGGAAAGAAAGTTGCAACAATTTTTATTTTTTCCAATTTCATTTTTTTTATTTTTTATAATTTTTTGTATTTCACATGGCACGCCTTGATTTAGAAGAAAAATTTCAGAACAGTTTTTGACACTTTCGATACCAGAAGCTACAACAAAATCCACGCAAATATTGTTTTTGCTCTACTGATACTACCTGTTTAATGTGCCTTGCAAAAGTGGCAGCACTAGCAGCCAAAATGTCAAGCAAAACGGAAATCCAATTAGAAGCTGCAGCAGCCAGAGAACGCAGCAGCGAACTTGGGAAGTCAGTGGCAAAAAGATATCGACGTATTTCTTTGATTCGATGCCCATCGATATCTTTCGATTTATTCAAATTTAAATTTATAAGTAAATTCGCCGTAACAATTTGCAGAGTACCACAAAACCGAAACGAAAATCGCATGAGCTTATTAACAAACAAAAAATATAAAGATACGAAAGCGAAAAAATGGTTATAATCTGATAGAAAAGTGAGGTCGATATTATATTTTCACGAGGAAATTTATTTTGCTTGTATGAGATGGATAACAAACCAACAATCCAGAGATTTTAAAAAAATTGTTCAGTCGACCAACTCACTTTTTTTGCACAACTGAAAAACGCAAAAGGATGGTTCAATGAACTAGCAGAGAACGTTAAATATTAAATATTAACGTTCTCTGGGACTAGTTTCAAGACACAGCGATGCATCTACGATTTTTACATCGAGAGCATCGAAGCAAACATCGATATTTTAGACGCATCGATATTTTTCCGATTTTCCTACAGCAAAGACAGCAGAGGCATGAAAATCGACAGCCAGAAAGTTTTTTCTCTGCAAACGGTTGACTGGAAAAATCGAAGGAGCAAAATCATAGCGCACGCAGATTTCTGAAGAAAAAAATATTAATTGCAATTGCATTTGGAGAGAAAAAATAAATTCCAAACTAAAAAAAATTACGTGAGTTCTGCGCGAAGAATTTTCGGTGGAAATAAAAACCCAATTGTCCCGCTGTACAAAAGCCGAAACCAGTTGGTTGGTGAAGATAAAAAAGTGAGTGCAAAAGTGGATTAGCAAGCAGTAAAAGCAAGAATGTAAAAAAAAGAAAAATATCGTTGCAAATAAGAAATTGTAGTGAAAAAATTAATTTAGAAACAAGAAATAATTCATGTGCAAACGAAAATTGTAGAATAAGAACGATTTCACCGCGTTTTGATAGGTCAACTTTTGTGTGTACGTAGCTCTTTGCTGGCGTGTAAAAATGGACTATGGAGCAAGTGCGTCGTTTGGTACGTGGCTCTAGCTACATAACCATTAAAATCGGACACTGGAGCAGAGCATCCTCAAAATGCCTTGAATTGCTTCAAATAAAAGATATGTACAACACGGGGTGCGATTATGATGGAGCAAACACCAAAATTGAACTCCAAATTTGCCAAATTATTTTGTCTTGTTGGCAATTTCGTGAATAATGGACATTTTCTGGCATATCGGCGCTTAATTAAACCAAAACCACACTTCAAATATACCTAATTTCAAGCCATCTTTTGGCACTTGTGAATCCGACACAGGTGCAGCTGACAGGCATTGATTTTTGCGGCGCCACTGCCAAAGTTAGCTTTAGCGTCAGCGTCAGCGTCGGCGTAGGTGTCGACTTCGACATATTCAACAACGTAGCGCTTTGAACTGCGCTAGTCACTCACGCGCCGTGTAGTACTGTCGATGTGAAAGTGTTTTCTACACAAGACAGGTGGTGGGTGGGAGGAAATGCTCACACAAATGCTGGAGGGAAGAACCTACTGGATTTTTGCAATTTTTGGGTCGTTCGGTGTGCTTTACGTTGTTATTTAAGTGTGTGGTTATGTGAATTTCGAGAAAAAAGAAACATTTTGCAATCTCTTTACTATTCAAGGATAATATGTGTGAATGCGATGTGTCCTTATGCTCGTAAAATGGCTTTCACGCCAAGGGGTGGCATTGGCCTTTGGTTTGGCGGCAGTCTGACAGGCGCTCGAGCTAGTTGCTAACATAAATCGATTTAGTAGTGGGTTGGCATACATTCGCAGTGCTATTAGGGAAGATTGGAGATTGTAAGTGGCACAAATGTGCGTTTTAATTTGAAATTTGGCCATACATTCTTATTTACATATGTATGAAAATCAGCTATTTTATTATTATATATGGTTGCAACACAGAATTAGTTTATTACTTGTTCTCTTAATTAAAAAAAAAAATATTTTGCACATGTACTTAACTGTAAGACCATGCCAAGATTAATGAATGGGTGCAATATTTATTAAAGAACGAGAACAACTTTCTAAAATGGAGGTGCTACTCATAGTATGACAAGAAGCCAAGGCTCACCTAGAAGCCTTTCCAGCATTTTATTGTTATAGCGTATGATTTCATATCGAACATTTTAAGTGTTATTTTTTATATTGGAAATAAAATACATAGTATGTAGGTATGTGTTCATAGTAAAGATTGTTTTTACCATCTTATTTTGGTTGTCCGACACGTCTGCTGGCATCTCAGTACTTTCCTATTCAATTCGTTTACTTCAGAAAGTTCGCTGGAACGTGTTTAACTTGCAAATACCTACTACAAAATCTTAATGTGCGGATGTAAGGCATTCGCGGAGGCTAATGAAGAAAAACATAAAGCACGCTTTTGAAATTGTTAAAAAAAACACGCTACGCTCGAAAGCTTCTTTTATAATAACGGTAGGTACTAAGAAATTTAATAAATTTAGGCAACGAAACAGAAAACGCATTTTTTTACATTAAAGGGATCAAAGACAAAAAAAACCGGTTGAAAACGCCCCCTTTAGCACACTTTTGACTGCAATGATTAATAATCGCAGCTAGTTAGAACAACAAATACACATTTATACCTACATACATACGCCCCTCATACCTAGAACGTTAAAACTGCAGTAAGCTAAAAGTGAAATTATGAATAAAATAAAATTCATTAACTTAGAAAATGAAAATTTATAACTGATCCTCCCTTTTCTAAAGCATGTAATAATACATCTGTGGTAATATAAAAAAAAACGAAAACCGCGAACTGAAATGCTATAAAGAAACGTAAAAAAGAAAAAGGCATAACGTGTGATAAAAACCTGTTGAATAAAACAAGCTAATGTGTAGTGTAAAAAATTTGGGAAATCTTAATTTTTTTAAATTTTATTAAATAATACACAACAAAGAATCGAAAAAAAAAAATAATAAAACTCCATTGAATTTGCAAAGCTGGAGGAACTCTTGTCCAGCGTAATTAAAATGCGAGCCTAGACACTAAATTTCACTTGAAAGTTTAGAACTATTTATGTATCAAAACTAAGGTTAATTTCACACTAATAAATTAAGATTTGTTTATACATAAATATTTAAACACTTACAGAATGTAAGAGAGCTATGATATAGCAGAAATTAAACAAATATCGCAGGTTAAAAAAAATTTCCAAAACATCTTTTTTCTCATTAAGGCAAAAAATTAAAACATTACGTGCAAACGAAAATATAAAATATAGCCAACATTCAATTGTTCAATCAAATCACTTTTAATTAAATTTACTTATGTATGTATTTTCCCGCAGCGGTTAAAACCATCAGAAATACATATAAACCACAAAGCAAAGAGCATACAAAACTGTAATTGACAAAACGGAACTAACAGTAATAGTAGTTTTCAATCAGTAAATCATACACGCTCCAGATCGTTTGCAGCTCTAACCTAAAAAAAAAACACAACAAATACAAGTTCCAACGTTAGTTCCCCAACTTCGCTAAGACAGCACCAACAAAGCGCACAGCAAATTAAAAAGCGTCAGCATCATGACTATGGCTGGGCAGACCATCAACGATCGGCTATTGGCGGCGCGGCATAGCTTGGCCGGTCAAGGCCTGGCTAAGTCGGTGTGCAAGGCCACCACAGAGGAGTGCATCGGACCTAAGAAGAAGCATTTGGATTGTAAGTACCTACATATGTATATAAAAATAATTTGTATTTTATATGCATTCCGATTAACATACTCATATGTATGTACATACATAACTGCTGATTACACTTATCCAATCGTATTTTCCTACTGTGCTCCCAACTCGTTAACTGTGAATTTGTATGCAAAATATTTCTTGACTTTTTATGCTCATTCCCACTCGATTTGTATGCATTTTTTTTTTGTGTTCCCTTTACGTCTGATAGTGTGCGCCTTGGAATTTTTGTCAGCATGATTCATTCACATTCAAGTTGGCTGTCTTTATGTGTTTTTTGTAACTCTTCTGTTTTTATGCGCAAGTGTTGTTACCAACTGACAACAGGTAACTTGAATGCTGCTGTACACACATTCTATTTACATATGTATGTAGTTGTATTCTTGTGTTGTTGCGTTTGAATCGCTTTCTTGTTTTATTACATTTTATCAACCAAAAACCGGTTAGAGTTTTATGCACGAGTGAGCTCCAATTCTATTGAGCATCCATAATTGAATTTGGTTGCTCTTAAGTGATTTCTGAAATGGAATGGATGTCATAAATGAGTTTATTTTATTGACTTTCATTTTACAGAAATTTAGAGTAGTGACAGTTCTTGCCCTAACATTTCGCACACCGTCTTCAAAAGAGTCACAACTCAAAATTTGGCATTATTGAAATTATGCGCTAAAAATGTACACAAAGCTTTTATATTATCTTTCAGCAAAAGCTGGAGCAAATATTTGTTATAATTTGTTTAAAAAGCCTAAGGTAAAGACGCCCTTGGCCATATGATTATCATGTGCTAAGAAATAGTTTTTCGCATTTTCTGACGAACGTATTATTTTGAGTTGTGACTCTTTTTAAGACGGTATGCTGACTGAAGAACCATATTAACTGCTCTCTTTTTTAAATAGCCCAATTTTGGTATCTAAATAAAAGTCGCTGCGTTTTAATTATATTTATTTACGTCGCTGAAAAGAGAAAAGTTCCACTCTTTTTTTTTTTTAGTTGTCCTATTTTTTAGAAAATATGTCTTCTACACTAGTGCGATCATAATTGATCATTATTCTTTAATTTTTATTTTTTCGATCAGACTTGGTACTAAAGTATCGATGAAAATACCGATAAGGTCATCTCCAAGTCCATATGTATTACCCACAAAAATGTCAAGAAAATTCAAACACTGCTCTTTCTCACTCTCTCACTTAAGAAAAATATGAAATTACCACGACGGATAATACGACGGACAATATTGCGCTGATTGATGTGAAATTCGGGAGAGTAACGTGGATGTGACGTCATAGCAGATCTACCGGTGGAGAGAGCTGAGAGAAATCTGTAAGGGTGTATATGTGTTGTAGATGTACATATATGTATATTACACAGGCAATCCACAGAATCTGCTAGACGTCACACTCCTGTCAAAATCTTCAAGAGAGAGAGAGTTAGCGGTATCACAATCAGCGCCACCTTCTGTATTCGTTTCACCATGCGAAATTACGAGATGATACACAAATAGTAGTAACACCACCTTATATGAATTCGCCTTGTTCGAAAACATAAAGCGCAAAATCGGAATCGAGCTTGAAAATATATTGGCAGATCCATACCAACAAGCTTTTCATATCAATATTTTATTCCCCAAAACTAGCTTCTTAGTTATCATCACCTAGTTATCATCACCTAGGCGAAAGCCTAGATTTATATCTGGCCAAAAACTGTCACTCCAGCAGCATTCCCCAAAAGCTCAGAGATATTATAACAAAATTATTTTTATTTACAAAAAATCGTGCCGTTACTGCTTAATATGTACTTACAAATGCTACATATCAAAAATTTCAGGCCCGCAATGCTATATTTTATTAAGCTCAATTTAAAGTTTGTAGTTCAAGGTCAGCAAGATGTAAACATGTCCATATGTATGTACGTGTGTACATGAACGTACCCATACAAATATATTCATTCACACAATTCGAGGCATTTAATGCTTCAATTTTTAATAATCCAAAACAACCGTCAAGTGTAGCGAATCACTTTCTCCCTTTTAAAGTAGCATAAAGTAATTTTGTACGCTTAAATAGCTTTAATTTTTTTCCTAATGGGTGTTTACAGTTATTTTTCGTTGTCGCACTTTCAAGCTTGAGCGTAATAGTACCTAATAAAAACAAAAAAAAAAAAACAACAACAGTAGAAACAAAACAAGAAATAATAGAGGAAAAACACGCTGTAAAATTGCCACTTGAAGGCATTGTGTTGTTTTACTTACATACTTACAGACTTACAGACTTATGTATATACATTCATATTTTCACTTTTCAAATCACTTTATTACGTACAAGCACCTTATCGTGCAATGTTGCTCTTCGTTGTGTTGCTGTTATCGCTGTGCTTTTTTGTTACTGTTGTTGTTGTCATTGTTGATGTTATTGCTGCACCGCTATAATGCAATTGCATTTGTTAGTTGCCTGTCATTGCTCCTTCGCTGTTAAGCTGCATTTCTTGCGCTGTTTCTTGTTTTTGTTGTTATCACTGCTGTTACTAATGTGACAGTTGGTTTGATTGTTGTGGCGTTTCTTTTTTTGGTAGGGTACATGCATGTGTTGCACTTTGCAATGTACTTAAAAAATAGCAGTAATGGAAGTGATGCAGGGACAACAAAGAAATATATGTACATTTATACAGTGTTGGACATATGATTTTGGACCAAATTCAAAATTATATTGTTTGCCCCTAATGTCTATTTATTCATATTTAAGATTCTTCTATTAAAACACAATTCATTCTCTAATAAATACCATTTAGGTAAACCCGAGCTTAAAACTTTGTAAAACACTGAAAAAAAAAATAAATCATAAAATTTCCATCCAATTTTAAAAATTTTTTCTCAGAAGTGTTAAAGTTTTTTTGAGTACACAGTTTTATAGCCCATTCAATTTAGGTAATATTGTGCAAGTTTTAATTGTTTTTAATTTTTTTCGTCGAAGCTTTTCTTCCATATAAAAGTAAATCGTGTTTTTCGTTATATGGAAGCAAATGCGACAAAGAAAACTTGCACTAAACTTGAATGGACTATAAAACTGTATACTCAAAAAAATTTTTATATAAAAAAAATCCGCATCAAATTTGGCGAAGAAAAATTCTAAATAATCAACGGTAATTTTTAGCCAATTGAAATTTGCAAATATTAGATTAAGATTCAATGGCCTATAAAACTGTGTACTCCAAAAAGTTTTAACACTTCTGAGAAAAAATAAATAATAATAACATGAAAAAACATAAAACAAAATAAAATAAGAAGAATATATAATGACTCGTAGTTATAGCAGTAAAAACGATTAAAGTAAAAAAATAAAAACAAATTTTGCTTTCGGTTATCGGCCCTTGAATTTTCAATTATGAAATTAAATAAAACTCTAGTTTTTGTTTTATTAATTTTTAATTGCTTATAATTCGACCTCAATTTGCAGCCCTGAGGAGGATCTCATATTAAAAAAGAAAAATAAAAAAGTAAACAAATAAATAAGTAAAGAAATAAATAAGTAAAAAAAAAAAATAAAAAGTAAAGAGTAAAAAATTAAAAACATTTAATTTTTAGCAAAACCACCGTCTTCAATGCTCAAAATTTTTAACCTCGAAATCTCGAAAACTTATTTAAGTGTTTCCACAGCACCTTCTGAAGGCTTGAACTTTTTAGTGTTAAAAGGTTTGTTCGTTTTAGAAAATGAGAGGATTTCCTTGAAATCTGATTAAAATTCAAGATATTAAAATCATGAAAATACCAGGGATGTTGGGAATATTTGCATTCGCATTCGATATGCGAATTATTCGCATTATTTTACACATTCGCATTCGGCATTCGCATTCGCATTAAATGATACGAATGTTTTGCGAATGCGAATGTGTACATGGGCAGAGAGTCCACTCTAATATTGTTGAAATGGCTCTAAGTCTTCGCGAAATCTCAGATTTCTTAGCAGTGATTTCCTAAAACGAGTTGGCTTCGCAAAAGTTTCTCAAATTTACTCGCTATAAGAACAGCTGATCTGACATTTTTACTTCGATGAGTCATCATCACATCTCTACTAAAATCTTTACCAACTTCAGCCGGTGTGTTAAAATATTCTGCAACCTAGTTTTTAACCTGTCCCTACGCAGTTGTTTATTCTCTAGAGTGTGTCAATACTATGTTCGCACCAATTAAATATTCTATGTTTTCATTCATTCATTTATACTAGTAGTACATACAGATGCATAGCCAACAAATGTACATATGTATGCGCGTATGTATTTCCTTGTTAAATACTCATTCGTCCACACCAGGCGCTGTACCTCCCCAGGGATACATACATATTTTAGATAGCGTTTTCTTTGGTGGCTTTACAATTATTTGCCTCTTTTCTAGTATTTGCCTGGCACTACGAGTGGTCGCAGGATTTTTACTTGTAAATTTAATTTAGTTCGTGGTTGTGATGGCTTATTGCTAATTTTTTCTGTCTTTAGTATTGTAGTGAACTTAAAGCTATTAAATAATAGGCGTAGAAGATATCCCGTAGTCTTTAATGATATCAGTGCATGCAAAAGCGTTTAAATCCCGTTATAAAAAGCCAATTTACCAACACCAAATTATGAAATTTCACTCCAGACTATACAACTTGGTGGAAAGTTGTATCGATTGACAGTCGTAATTTCATGCAAATCGTAATTGATCCCTTATCGCACTTATGCAGTATAATCGGAATGAATCGTCGGTAAAATGAACTCAAATCGGCCCTCTCTTAAAATCAAGGACCGTAAAAGTTAAAACTTTTATTAAAAAAATCGCCCTTTAGCAATTATTTATTGACTTTTATTTAATTACTCCTTGCATAAAAGTTTTTTTCTGATTTTTATTTTATAAATACAATATAACAATTATTTTCGATTTTTAAATTATATGTCTTAGATAACAGTTATTGAAGACTTTTATTTATAAAAG